CTGGGGGACCCCCCCCCCCCCTAGCATGTGGTGAAGCCTCTGGGGGGGGCGCGGACCCCCCCCCTAGCATGTGGTGGGCACCCCCCAGCAGTTCGTGGGCTAAAGGGATAGGAATAGCCGCCAAAGAGCCGATTTTGCCCCCAAAGTTGTGAAATCGTGGCTGAAAGTCCAATATCCTCTGGGCCGGCGCGGGGCCCCCCGGAGGCACCGTGCGCCGCGCCGCAGTGCGGAAACGGGGCTCCGGCTCCGCTAGTCTCAGCTAGCACCGACTTATCGATTAAGTACGGTTAAGTAGAGGGCAGATTTGGAAAGATCTCGAGGAGTACATACAGATAGACCCTCCAACCATCAGAAAACTCCGACCTGATCGGTCGTACTGACCGCCGACAGATCACTCCAGACAGCAGACAGGCCGACGTCTGCACGCGGCCGGCCGGGCGAGAGGCTTGACACGATCCGACCCTGCGACCCTGACGCTGCTGCTCTAGCTATCAGCCATGCACTGCTGACTGCTGCCACAATGTGCGACCTGTGCTGGCCCACTTGGCGGCCTTCCCGGTCAGTGGTGAGGCGCAGTTCAGAGCTGTCGATGGCGCGATGCCGCACTGGTCCCACATTGGTGACACGATACCACCAAGTTTGCCGGTCCAAGAGAGAGGCACCGGCGCTGTCCTGAGAAGGTGCGTGGTCCCTCTTGACTGCCCATGCGCGCGAGGCTGTGTAGGCATAGCCTCGAGAGTGCCAGCAGCCAATCCGAGGTGATGCGCATTGCGTCAGAAGCGTGCACACGATGGAAGGACACCTTCCTACTGGCCGTACGATCAGGTCGTCACTGAATGCTTGATACTAAGGCCGCGAGCTATGCAGGTGATCAATTGTGCATCATGGCACGGTCAGCTGCGCCGACAGGCTGTCGCAAGGCGTGATAGCATGGCCGCAAGTACGCCGAATTCCCATGAAAACAAGTAAAAAACGACAAAAAAGAAAAACAAGCCGAAAAAATCGGCGCCTGCGGCGGGCCATGGGACCCCATCTCCCCCCCGCATGGACACCCTCTGGGGCCCCCGCGCCGGCCCAGAGCCAATATCTTGGAGACTCTGACCAGTCTCGAGCCTTTCATGTAGCTTCAAAGGATGATTTTCCCCTCGAAAACGTGCTGCGAAATGAGGCGTAAAATCAAGGGCCCGGAGGGTCTGACCACGAGTCTCTGGGGGGTCCTCGGCGGTGACCCCCCCCCCAGCATGTGGTGAAGCCTCTGGGGGGGGGTCGGACCCCCCCCCTAGCATGTGGTGTGGAGAGAAGTGCGCCCCCCTCCCTGGAAGCGATGTCCGCCTGCTCTAACCCCGTAAAAAATGAGTCAATCCCCTCCACCCCCCCCCACTACCATGGCGGCGCGCGTCGTCGCTCTGTCGGCTGTGTACTACAGCCTCGCCCTCACTGCCGATGGCGCCGTCTGGTCACTACCAGCGTGCCGACGAAAGTCGCCGAGTCTTCTTTTGGGGTCGCCGCCGGTTCAACGTGCAGCAGTGTGCTCGCCTGGCGCTGCCGACGCGCGCACTGCTGCATGTATTCGTCCCGTGTACCAAGGTCAATGATACAAAGCGGTTGATGACCGAACACACGGCTGCTGATGTGCACTTCACCGGGTGCAATCGCATTGCTGTCCGCGGAGGGCCGACACACGCTGAGACATGAGATCAAGCCGACTACTTCGCTTGAGCGCTCGGCTACAGTGCTCAGGTGACTGGAGGTCACCGCCGGGGCGCTGGTTGCGGCTGGTTGCGGCCCTGGGGAAGGCGGCAGCAAAGGTCTTTGTTTGGGAGCAGTCTTCAGAGGGAAGCTGAGGCCTCTAGCATACATTTCGCATCCGATGAGCGTTTTCTTTCGTTCCTTTATCGTTCAACGTAGACATTTATTTCTGTAGTGTAACCCACTCCTAAGATTAATTCTCGCGCACGTCTACTCTTGGCCGAGGAGAGCGGTCTGCCCCACCACCACAAATGCCCGCAGAGCTCAACACGGATGGATTGCCGACCGACGGGCAAGCGCCTCATTGGCGCCCCCCCCGCCCGTAAGCAGCCCGTCGATGCAACTGGCTCGCGCGGCCACGGCCGCAACGACGCGTCGCCGGCGGCGCTCACTCGAGCCCGAGCCCTCCGCGACGGCAACGCCAGGTCGTCGCGTCCGCGCCACAGAATTCTTTTTCATGCCCCGAGCTGCTGCCGAAGCTCAGAGCTCTTGAGGCTGAGGTGGCAGCCGTGGCGGCGGCAGCATGATGAGCCACCTTCTGTGTGGAATCGACTTGCGGTGTTGTGGAGGCCGACCCCGACAGAAGCAAGAAGGCCGGACGTCATGGGACGACATGGCCCTCCTGTCCCCTGACTCACAGATTTGTTTTTTTGCTCCACGTGGATCTCGTTTATTTTTCTCTAGTGTCGGCTTCTGCAAAGAAAAGAAATAAAACAGGCACCCCAAGCCGGAGTCAAAATTCTTAAGCTGCCTTTTCTTTTCATGAGCGGCTGCCGAAGCTCACTCTACCGCAACGCGCAACAACCATTTGTCAATGCCCTCGTCGAGCCGACTGGTGACAACGGCCGCCGCCGCGGGATCGGTCGCCGCCGCCGCCTATATCGCCAGCAGAAACTTGCGGACAGCAACGGTCGCAGGCACTTCGATGGACCCGACCTTCAAGCCGGGAAGCAGCATCCTCGTCGAGGCGCGATCGGCCACCGCGGAGGAGGATCGGGGCGACGTCGTGGTACTCCGCTCGCCAGAGGAGGGCTGCGAGGATGATCTGCTCACCAAGCGCGTAGTCGGCCTCGAGCGAGACTGGCTGTATGCGAGGGACGGGAGGTTGGTGAGGGTGCCGACTGCGCACGTCTGGGTGGAGGGTGACAACGCCTCCAACTCGAATGATAGCACGCACTACGGCGCAGTTCCTCGGGACAAACTGGTGGGCACGGCCGTGGCTAAGGTGTGGCCGCCCGCAGAGGCGGGCCCTGTCGCGGACCGGCACGAGGAGTGCGAGGCTCGCGTCATCCCTGCGGAGGAGGCGCGCCGGCTGAGGAGCCGCAAGACGGAGACGGGAGAGACGCTGCGGATCGCGCTCCGCGCCAGCCGGGACGCGATGCAAGAGTACGTCGGTTGGACCCCTCCCGAGGACAAGGCGTCAGGGCGGCCCGCAGGCGCATAGAGCTTCTCCCAGGCCCTGAGGCGGCGGCTGGGTCCTCGGGCGCATGGCTGGGCAGCGATGGAAACTCTGAGGCAGCTCGCGTAGTTCAACAGCGATTTTGCGGGTCGTGTTGCGCGGGAGAGAGTGAGAGTCGCGTGCGCCCCCCGGGGTGTCAGCGGTCGGCCGGCACGCGGCACCTCGGTCCGCGCGCTGGAGTGGTGGAGACGGACAGACGCGGCTTTATCAGACAACTCCTTTTCGTAAACGAAAACGGTCTCTCGCGTCCGCGGGCTCTCTTCACGCTTCAGCCTTCACCGCCGCCTGTCGCCTGCGCAATATTCAAACGCCGCGCCCTAACTCACACAGTCATCTCCTCAAACGATCATCACACACGTGAGACGCGCGCTCCACAACAAACATGCTGCATTTAGTTTCTCTCCCCCAATCCCACCACACCCTCCGCGCTCCGGCTCGAGCGCGCCCGCAAGTGGCTCCGCCGGCATGCCCCTTCCCGCCCCTCCGCCCCGCGCCTCTCCGCCTCGCGTCAGTCCTTCTCGTAGAAGAGGCCCGAAGACGTCTTGGCCGCCCCCCTCTGCAGCTCATAGTACATGTTTGCGACAGCCTTGAGGTCGACGCTGTCTGGCAGGGCGTGGAGCGGGTAGCCGCCCGGCGGCGGCGCGTCGAGCGCCACGCCGATCTCGAACATGCGCCGCAGCTGCACAAAGGTCGCCTTGGCGACGGCGAGCGCCAGCTGCCGGCTCGCCTCGCCCGCCTCGCCCGCCGGGCCGCACAGGCCGAGGCTTGGCGGAGGTCCGCCTCCCGCACCGAGGAAGCGCTCGGGGTCGAACGAGTCGGGCGAGGCGTAGTCCGCGGGCAGGAAGTGGCCGACGAAGGGCTCGGCGGCGACGACGGTGCCGGCGGGCAGAGAGACGCCTCCCGCAGCCTATCCACGGGCCGGTGAGGGTTGGGAGATGCTCTCGAGCCGGACGCTACAGAGAGAGAGCGTGGGGCGGCCGTGTCTCGCTCGAGCCTGAGCCGCTGCGGCCGCGTGGGCGGCTGCGTGCGCAGCGTCTCGAGGGCAAACGCGTGCAGCAGCGGCATCTCGTCGAGCACCGCCGCGTCGATGGGCGCCTCCGGCCCTGCCCCCGTCAGCGCCGCCTTTTGCTCCGCCGCGAGCCTCGCAGACCAGCCGCCCTGCCGCTCCGCCATCGCAAGCATCGAGGTGACGAGGGCGGCGGTCGGCTCGACGGCGTCGAGCGCATCGGCCAGCCGACCCTCCCCGAGAGCAGCGGCGAGCAGCGCCCCCTTCTCTCCCCCGCCCCCGCCGCCCAGCCCCGGCAACCTAGCAGGCAAGCTGAGCCCGGCTGCCTGGCCCAGCAGGCTCAGCCGGCTGGCCGGGGCGAGCCGGTCCGAAGCGAGCGCCGCGTACGCCTTTCCCCACTCGCGGACGGTCGAGAGGCCCTCGCGCGGCGGCAGCGCCTCCAGCGTGCTCCCGAGCAGCGACGGCGCCGTCGCGCGGAAGAGCAGCCTCCGCGCGCCGGGCAGCGCCTTCCTCACGCGCGGGTCGATGAAGTCCTCGAAGCGGAAGGTCGAGAAGCCGCCCGTCTCCTTGAACTTTGGCACCCAGGCAAAGAGGCCCGCGTACAGCTCCTCGTGAAACCCGGCGGCGCACAGCGACTCGTAGGCGCCTCGCCAGTCGCCACCGGCCGACGCCAGCAGAGGCGCAAACGGCGCGAGCTCGAGCGGCTGGCGCTGCCCGCCGCTGGCGATTGGCGTGCCCGCCGCACATACGCTCTCCACAGCCTCGGCGCCGCCGACAAACACGGCGCCGCCGAACGCGCCCGTGGCAAAGACCGGGCCAACCTCGCTGATCCGCGCGGCGCAAAAGCCTCGCGGGTCGGCCATGAACATGGCCTCGTCCCGCGCCGTGGGCGCGCCCGGAGCGGTGATCGTGGGCGTGCCGACAGCCATGCGTGGGCCGCTCGCGCGGACAGACGTGGACGCCACAGTGAGGAGCATCTTCGAGCGGCCGGAGCAGCAACAACTCGGAGAATTCCACGCCGGCAAAAAGAATTTACACAAATTCCATCGCTCCCTTGGGACCCAGGGTGGGCGACGGCTAGCGCACCACACTCCTCTCCTTAAAATCCCTGTGTGGTGGCGGCGTGCCGTTCTCCCATCCCTCCCTTGGCTTGTGTGTTTTCTTTCTTTCTTTCTTTCTGGGTTGTCCCTTGGGTTGTCTGTTTTCTTTCTTTCTTTTTTGGGTTGTCTGTTTTCTCTCTTTCTTTACACCGGGCACGGGACTGGCGCGCACAAAAAGAATTCGGCGCCTTCTCTCTCACGGTATACAGTACACGCGCCTTAGTTTCCGAAACGCAGGCGAGGGTTCCACCTCTAAAAAAGACCTCACACAGTGGGGGACGCAGGGAGACTTCCACCTCTAAAAAAGACCGGGACCCCACCCGCGCCCGCGCCGAGGCCGCGCTCGCGCACAAGATCGATGCACAAGACATTTCGAGAGTCGCACCGTGGCCTCTCACGGGCGCTCCTGGGCCGCATCCGCCGCCATCCTAGCTGCAACCGCCCTGGCCATCGACGCGGCCGCAGCGGCACCCCTCGCCTCCGCAGCCGCCGCCGCCTCCTCGAGCGCTGTCTCGCTCCCCTCCAGCGCCGACCCGGTCCCGCTCAGTGCCGCCGCCGCCGCCTCTAGCGCCGCCCTGGCCTCCGCATGCGCCGCCCTGGCCTCCGCCCTCGCCACCTCGGCAGCCGCCAGCGCCGCCACGGCCGCCTCCTCCTTCTCCTTGTCCGCCTCTGCCTCCTCCTCCGCCTCGTCCGCCTCTGCGTCCAAGCGCATCGCCTCGGCCACCGCTGCCGACGCCGCTGCCTGGCTCTCCGCCGTGATGCCGAACCGGATCCTCTCCTCGTGACACTTCTCGAGAAGCCTCATCATTCTCTCCTCCTCGGCCTTCTTTGCGGCCTCAGCTGCGTCTGCCTCCGACGGCGCCTCATCACCCTCTGCCGGCGCCTCGGACTCCTGCGACGGCCCAGCCGCGCCCGCCCCTCCGCCCTTCTTCTTCTTCTTCTTGCCCTTCTTGCCCTTGGCGCGCTTCTCCGCCTCGACCTCCGCCAGCAGCTCCTCGGCGTGCCGCGCCGCCTCCTTCTCCTCCGCCGCCCTCTGCGCCTCCCTCTCCGCCGCGCCCGCAGCCCACGCCGCCTCCTCTGCCGCCTTCTCGGCCGCCGCCTTGGCCGCCGCATGCTCCTCGAGGGCGCGCACGCACTCGGTGTGGCCCTGTTGCTTGGCGTACTGCAGCGCGGTCTTGCACTTCTTAGCGCACAGCGTCATGTCAGCGCCCGCCCGTAGCAGCTGACGCACGACGGCGGGATGGCCGTAGAAGGCGGCAAACATCAGTGCGGTGTCGCCGTCGTTGGTCTGCAGGTTGATCTCCGCGCCGTGCCGGGTCAGCGTGTCGACCACCCGCTCGTGGCCTTCGCAGGCGGCGGCCATCAGCGCAGTGACGCCGATCGTGCTTCTCTGATCGATCTCCGCGCCGTGCCGCAATGCCAGCTCGACCATCTTCTCGCGGCCGTTCGTGGCAGCGAGAATCAGCGCAGTGCTGCCGTCGCTCTTCTGCAACGAGACATCTGCCCCGCGCCGCAGAAGCGCCTCGGCCAGCCCCTCGTGGCCTTTGATCATTGCGATCATCAGCAGCGTCATGCCGCTCACGCGAGTGCCGCAAGCAAAGGTGTACTCGAACGTCGTGTCGACCCACCCGCCGCCGTCGAGCCACGCCAGCACCGGCTCCTCTTCGCCTCGCCGAGCCGCAAGCACAACCTCCTTTGGCACCGCCCCACTGCCCGGCGCGGCCTCTGCGCCACCCTCGCCGCTCAAAGCAGAGGCCACGGCACTGGCGCCCGCCTCCGCCTCGCCTGCGGGTGCGCCGCCCGCCCCTGCGCCGCTCGCCTCAGCCGACGGCGCCTCGCGCCGGCCCGCCACCTCCCCGAGATACGTCCTGAAAGCCTCGACGCACTCGGCGTGGCCGTCCTTCGTGGCGATCTGCAGCGCCGTCCTGCCGCTCGAGCGCAAGGTCATGTCTGCGCCCGCCCGCAGCAGCTGACGCACCACGGCGGGACGGTTGCCGAGGGCGGCGGCCATCAGTGCGGTGCCACCGTTGCTGGTCTGCAGGTTGATCTCTGCGCCGTGCCGGATCAGCGTGTCGACAATCCACTCGTGGCCTTTGTAGGCGGCGTCCATCAGCGCAGTGCCGCCGTTGTTCTGCTTCTGGTCGATCTCCGCGCCGTGCCGCAAAGCCAGCTCGACCAGGTTCTCGTGGCCGTTCAAGGCGGCGAGGCTCAGCGCGGTGCCACCGTCGCTCTTCTGCAAAGAGACATCTGCGCCGCGCCGCAGAAGCGCCTCGGCCAGCTCCTCGTGGCCATTGGCCATCGCGATCATCAGCAGCGTCATGCCGCTCGCGCGAGAGCCATCCGAAAAGGTGTACTCGAACGTCGCGTCGACCCACCCGCCGCCGTCGAGCCACGCCAGCACCGCTCCCGCTTGGCCATCCTTGGCGGCCTTCTGAATGCTTGCGGGGACGTCGCCGCCGCCCTCCGTCGCCCCATTGTAGGTGCAGCTCGGAGAAAAGAATTAAGGAGCCCAGGCTAGACTCGAGGGGCCAGGATATGCAGCGAGGAGGGCGGAGCTGCGCCGAAAGGCGCAAGAAGCAGCGAGAACAAGGGACCGGCAGGCGGCGGCGGCGTCGCAGAACGAGGCAGAGGAGAGCGACGCGACAGAAGAAGAATGTCGCGGGGCGGGTTGCCGGAATGGTGGCACTGAGGCCCGAGGGGTGCGGGAGGCGCACGGCGGGGGCCGGCCTCGGGGTGAGGGTGAGGTCGGCCGCCGCCACCGGGGGTCGCCGCGCCGTAGAGCGGCCCGCCGGTCTCCCTGCTGGCGGTGCGCGCGGCCGCGCTCAAAGGCGCTGATTGCTCGGCCGCGCGGGGCCAGGTGACTCGCCCGCTGGAAGGGTGGTGCACGGGGTTTGCGGCGGGGTCCCCAACGTCCCCGGCGGCGGCCCGCTGGCGGGCCGCCGCCGCCGCCAGGGCGGCGGCGATGACGGAGAGCTCGTGGTGCTCGGTGTTGGACCCGCGCGCGCCGCGCAGGCCGATTGCGGGGCTCTCCCACAACCACGCTGACCAGATCCCCGGACCAGCGACAGAGGCGAAACGACACTCGGCCCGCCGACACAATTCGGCCACTGGACACCATAACTAAATGCGGCGCAGGCCAATCTCAAGTTCCCTTCTCAATTCTTCGCGGGTTTTGGTGCAGTCACCTTCCCCCGCGACAAAGAAGAGACAAGGGAAAGAAAGACGAGAGTGGGACGACCGCGAGGTGGCATGAAGGTTGCAGCGAGAATCGGCGAGAGACTGCGAAGAGAGATAGGAAGAGGCGGACGCCCAAGGGTGGGCGACGGCTAGCGCACCACACCCCTCTCCTTAAAATCCCTGTGTGGTGGCGGCGTGCCGTCCTCCCATCCCTCCCTTGGGTTGTCCGTTTTCTTTCTTTCTTTTAGGCTCGACACAGGTGCGGACTGGCGCGTGCTAGCACTATCACAGGCAAGCCACGAGAAAAGAATTCTTACGTATTGGCGGCGTGCCGGGTAACAGAATTGTGAAGAAACACCTCGAAGGGCACTCGAGTAATTTACCATACCCCTCTCTGCTCATTCCACGTACGCTATCCGCTACGTACTACGCACTTGTGTCGTTGTTTCGTTGTCGAGTATATACACACAAAATAATACAACTCGAATCGTCACCCTGGAGTCACCTCACGCGGGAGCTACCCACCACTCACTGTATGAACAACACCAACGTCCTAATGGCGTTCGCCAAGCTACTCGCACTCGTCGCACTGGGGCGCCATGTCCGCGTGCGAGCACCGCTCCGGGTCCAGGCACACATTGCACGACAGCCGGCTCTGATTCGAGATGCGGACGCTGGGGCGGACCCAGCGCTGGCCGGCGATGACCAGCGACGCGGCTCCCTTGATGCCGGTGTCGCCCAAGGTCGGCGGCGGCGGCGTCACGCCGCGCGGCCAGTGTCGGTAATGCTGCCGCGGCATGCTGCGGCGGTGCTCCAGCAGCCGCGGGTCCATGACGGCGAACCACAGCGGCGGCACGAGCGCGATCGCAATCATCGTCGCGTAGCCGCCCGGCAGCTGCGGGCTCGCGTCCGACGTCGTGAGCTGCTGGTACCGCTTCCCCGCGTGGTTGTGGTGGTCGGCGTGCCGCTGAAGCTTGAGCAGGATCGTGTTGCCCAGCCGCGTCGGCGAGTCCCACGCGTGGCGCAGGCCGATCTTCGCGTAGCGCCACTCGACTGGAAGCGACGGGTCGCTCGTGTACTGGCGCCGCTCGAGGCCGTAGTGTTCCAGATAGTTGACCGACTCGAAGAGCAGCACCGCGGTGCCGGCCTGGATCAGGAAGAAGGCGAGCGCCTGGCCGCCGAGGCCGAGGCCAACGCCCGCCGCCATCGCAATCGACAGGGAGAAGAGCTGGAGCAGCTCGTTCGTGGGGTGCAGAAACGGTACGCCGGCCTTTGCGAGCCGCTTTCCCTCCAGCTCGACGGCGGAGCGCAGCTCGCCGATCACGACGCGCGGGAGGAAGTGGTAGAAGGACTCACCGGCGCGAGCCGTCGCGGGGTCCTCCTCCGTGGCGACCATCTTGTGGTGCCCCTTGTTGTGTTCGATGTTGAAGTGCGGGTAGAAGACGCAGACAAGGTTGAGGATGCCGAGCAGTCGGTCGAGCTTGGCGTGGCGGTGGCACAGCTCGTGCGCGTAGGTGATGCCGAAGGCGCCCGAGTAGACGCCGAAGGAGATCCCACCCAGGACGACCTCCATCGTCGACAGCTTCTTCACGCCGTCGTAGCCGTCGTTCCCGAAGGCGACGATCAGCAGCGACCAGGCGAGCCAGAGGAGCTGGAGGACGGGCTGTGCGAGCGAGGCAAAGCGGAAGCTCTTGGAGTTGAGCTCGTCCTTTGGCGGAGGAGAGCGGCGATCGGTGCCGACGATGTGCTCGGCGATGGGGAGCAGGATGATGACGTAGGCCACCGTGGCGGCGCGCCAGCCGCCCCTGTAAATTCCCTCGGTGGCGAGCGCTCCCGTGACCGCGTGAAACCAGTACTGCACCGCAGTATTGTGGTCGTCGGGCACCCAGCGGAAGGAGAT